ATATTACATTTAATTCTGATTCGAGTGCATCTAATGTTAGAAGCCGTTTTCATCAGCACCCATAAACCCTTTCCAAACAATATTCCGAAACAAGTGGAAAAATGTCCACGGATAACAAACGGCCGAGAGTCAACCTCTCTTTATTAACGAGCCTTTTCCAGTCCAGCGAGTCAGATCCAGCAGGCAACCCACGGAGCGGAAACGAGATACAATTAATTTTCCCATTAAAAGAATAATTTCGACTCCCAGAATCGGACTCCGAGTGAGTTTTATTCATTCCCAAGCGAATAAAGCCTCACAGCACGCTAGATTCCAAAGACCGGAAATTCACCGATTCTTGCCAACAGAGAGTACTACAAGAAATTTATTTTTAAACCTGCTTCACGATGTTCTTAAGTACAATTCTGAATACACACGTTTACAAACATATACGAGGTATAAGTGGTACAGCTTTTTAGTCACCTTATCATAGTAACTGGATACAACACGACCCTCAATTACAGATGGGAAATCTTTTCAGAGAAAGAAAAAGTGTGTAGTGTTAATGCACGTAAGACTATACTGTCCATACTGGTTAAGAAAAAGGGAATTAAAATTTATTCCTTATTATCGATATCGTATCAAAATTAAAGGTGCGGTGAATCCTAAGGTTTCTCAGAAGTCAATCTTATAAGGTTCTCAAATTCCTCGTATAAGAATAATAAAGAAAAGAAGCAAATTGCTTACTACAGCGGTGAACACTCTCGTGGTGACCCTATCCCTAAGATAACCATCTCCAAAAGTGACCATTCTTTCCCAAAATATATCGAAGCATTGATACTGAATATTACCTCTCTTAGATAACATCCACAATAAAAGATAAGACTGAAAAAAATTGAGCGGTCGTCTTAGAGAGAGTAAATTTTAGAAGTTTTAAATGAAAGCAAAATTTTTAATTAAATGTGAAATCTGAATTCAATGAAAAACAATTTTAAAAATATATAACTCCTAAAAATATGCTCACATTTACTAAGATGCGAATGAAATTTATTATATAATTAATATTCTAGAACCTTCAAGCTCATTTCTCAACATAATATGAAAAACATATTTGAGAGATAGTTTCAGATTATTTTTAAATCAAAGCAATTATAAAGAGGAAGGATATTTCATAAATTACCGTAGATACACATTAAACTTGTAATGCTAAGTTCTTTTAAAAAATTCAGAAAAATAAAATTGTTCATTTATTCTTATGTACTTTTAAGAATTCATTTAAAAAAAAAAAAAAAAAAAAAAAAAAAAAAAAAAAAAAAAAAAAAAAAAACACAATTTTAGGGCAATCTAAATAAGAACAAAATGTAGTGGAAATTTTAATTTAGAATAGCCTATCAATGGTTGAACGGACAATATTACTGAACAATGGTAATACGATCCATAATCAAGTCTCAGAGACTGGAAGTTTACGTAGTTTTCCCTCATGTGTGGCCACCAGCGGCCGAGCGGTAAAGTCGCTAAATACTGGTATTTCGAATACTGGCGAACTGTCTGTCTGAATGTGCGCCCTCGTGGCTTTCCCCACGTGTAGCGTCTATGCGAAACAGTTTTCCTTAGAAAGTTCTCCACGAAAGGATCCCTCCTCTTAGGCACATAGCCTTGAGTGCTTTGTCATAATGAAATAAACCAAACCTCATGTGTAACGTAAGTAATAGCCAGATTCTTTAGAAAATTCTCTCAAAGGGCATCCTTCCGTTAGGACTATAGTCATGTCCGTTTTGCCTTAATCAACCTAAACTAACCCTTAACTTAAAATAACATAACCTAAACTAACCCTTAAAAATTTTTTTTAAAATAAATGAATAAACTCTGAGTTTAGATTAAATCATTTTATTAACTATGATTAGGAATTCTTTTTATTGATCTCTTCATTTGGACATCAATAAAATTAGTTTTAAGTTAGTATTCTAATGACAAAAAATGCGCGGCGATTCGAGTTTTTTAATCGCGATTTTTTTTCCTTGAATCTTGGCGAAAATATGCGAAGATTCACAGAATTATGCACGATCATATTCAACTGAAAATCCGAATTTCGAATTTTATATTTCATATTTTGCAAAACTTTAATGAACTTTTAACAAATTCAACGATTTGAAAGCGAGCAGTGGCAACACTGTATGGTAAAAAATTTCATCTCTAGCGTGCGATACTCTCTATCGGAAATTCTGAAGATATGCTGCTTTTAAATTCTTCGTAATTTTGCTGTTGAATCGAATTTTAAATGGCCAAGTACGTGATATTTAAAAAATAAAGTAAACACACAAAACGTTAATAATAAAAAGATTTGTAAATTTACAAAAATTAATTAAATTTGTAATTGTAAATTTGTAATTTGTAGAGTTCCTCACTTTGTACTTCTAAGTTTATGTCGGAAGTGAAGAATCTTAAGAACTGATAAGTGAATAATCGAACTGGTAAGTTCGGGTGACAAGAAACAACAAGATAGAAGGATTAACCCTTTATTATTCCAATAAGATTTAACAAAACTCCGCCTGGGAGTGTACAAACAAAGCCCTCACTTGGGCTTGAACTTAAGAGACTAAGAATTAAACTAAAACTAAGATTAACTAAGGAAATCTAGCCGAAGCTATCAAGATTCAAATCGAGTTGGCCCCTTAACTTATTTGACTACGAAGCTTAGCAAGGGCTTGAGTACAGCCGAGCGTAAAAACAGCTTTGAGAGAGAGAGTGGCCAAAAAGGCAGGCGCGCGTAAATCAGAACTCTGATTTTCTCTGCCTCTGTAAGTAACTTCGTGGTTTAAATACCGCTCCTCCTTATTAAATATTCAGCAAGATTCCAAAACTACGTTCTGGCCGGACGTAGTTGAAGTTAAGAATTTGACAGAAAAGGAACTTTAACTTCAAATTTAACTGTTAATAAAATTAACATAATCCTTACAAATTGTAATTTTGTAATTGATTGTAATTCCATCGTAAAAAGAAAACTGAATATTGATATGATGAACTGAGAAAAGACTGGAGGAAAAAAAAAAAGAAAAGAAAAGAAAATGTATGCCAACAACTTAACACTGCATCAGGAATTCTAAAATAATACTTCTATACTGCTTTTAAAATTTTCGTAATTTTGCTGTTGAATTATATATGGCGTAAGTGCGAACAAAATAATGCTTAATAATAAAGCTGGGGAAAAAAAAAAAAAGCGGTTAGTAGGAGTGAGGGTCAGCATAAAACCTTTAACAAAACCTTTTGGGTGACCATTAAGATCTTAAATCCTTCACATTTCTATACTTTTTTAAATTTGGTTTTTATTATTATTATTATTTACGTAAAAGAACTTTTTGTAACTGTTATATGTCAGAAATCTGAATTTAATTTATTGAACTTTATGTAAAGTAAAATAATATAAAAAGTAAATAAATAAACTTACAATCTGAAAGCTTCAGACTATTATCAAATACCTGAATGAAGTGTTTAGCTCTAAAATTAGTTTAAATAATTAAAAAATGTAAGACATTAAAAAGCATGAGAAACTTAGCAATTTTGTTCCTCTTCTTAAAATAAAAATATTATTTGCTGAAGCCATTTTTATATAACGAAATCTTCATTTTTGAATACAACTAAAACTCACAAAGAATTTTAGTTTTAAGAATTTATTTCTGCATTATATTACAAACAGAAAAATATAAAAAATATTTAAAAGAAATATCACCTTTTGAACACAATTAAAAACAGAAACATAGAAGTTTACGCATTACTACAATTTTTTTTCTGAGCGCAGACGATAGCGTATAGGAGGTATAACAACGATAGCGTATAAAAGAAGCAATCGTGTAATCATTCTATTATAAGGTCTTAGAACCTATTTTATGTATGACACTTATTATATAAAATAACACTTATTGGAAAATTATGTTAAAAAGTAAAAGGAAGATGATTTTTTTAAGTAATCAACGTGCAATATATTGAAAACATACTTATACGAATGAAAGACCTTATCAAGTCCACTGCCGGCACAGTTATTTATCGCGGACACAATTTTACAGCAACGTGAAAACAATAAACACCTGGAAGTTGTTTTTCTTCCACATGTTAAAACACTAAAATGCTTTTTATAAAAACGCGTTAAAACAAAGACTTGTAAATTCCATAACAGTGGGGGAGGGTTACTCACAAAGGCTAATATAATATTATTACACTGTCACTTGGAAATATACGATATAGCTAACTGCAGCAACATGGTTAAGATTTCTTGCTGCAATAAGCTATAAATAATATTGATACCTGCAAAAAAATTATTTATAACAGAAAATAAATTTTTTATATGTTCTAATTTTAATGAAATATTCTTTTTTGCATATATAACTTTCACGAATAAATATTTGGAATCTGACTAGCCAAATTATAGAAATCATTATAATTAATTGAGAAAATATTTATCATTGCTTCTTAAGATCTAAAATTTTCTGCTAAGATCTAAACAGTAGCAACGACATGCAAATCTTTACTATGACCTGTAAATTATAGTGCCAAACTAAATAATTCGTTAAAACTCCCCAAACTCCACCTTTAAAACAATTAAATTTAAAGAACAGTTATAAACAACAGAAACAATCACTCATCACCTACTTCTTATTCTGTACTTAACAAAGACCAGAACAAATGAGAAAGTGATACACAAGCAAGATAACAACAATTTTTTTAAATAGCAAGAATGAAAAGGAATGTGTTTTTATAACACCTACGTTAATTTTCAAAGAGAGAGAGAGAGAAAAAAAAAAGCAAAAAGGAGGAGGCGGGAAAATAAAAAATTACAGAAATCTCTTTCCCCTTACACTGCGATAATTACAATCAAAATACATTCAATTTGTAATAGGAGGCCTTTTAAATTCTGAAATTCATGAATTAATCAAGGAAATTACATCAGCTCAACAAACCTGTTTCTAAAAATGCAATTAAGATACTTATTTAAAAATGCACAAAATTAATATAAAGTGATTACTTACCCGAAGATTTAGTTGGAGAATATCCTTTCTGTGGCATATACTTTCGATGTGGGCTTGTGGAGCTTTCTGCCCCTTTCTGCTCATATAGAATCGTTATACCCGGGTAGTGTCCGTTATTATTGGGTGAGAAAGGTGGAGGGCTTCTGCCCATAATGTCTGGAGACGTTACACTGGTAACCACCGGGGAAGTGATATAGTTAGTTACCTCATCCGCCCCGCTGCTGACCACTGCAGCGGGTCGAATGTTTGTAACCACCGGCTCATAACCGGGGTTGTATTCCTTTTTGATACTGTGGTGGAATGTGCTGACCGGTTCGGCCATTGGAGCGACAGGGTCAAAGAAAGTTTTCTTTTCGTCAAAGATACTTATCCCAAAGTCTGTTGTTGAGCCCGGATCGAAACCCAAGTCTGTTATGTGGTCCTCATGAGGGGCCTGATGGCCCTGGGGGCTGACCACCGTGGAGGTGACCGAAGAACCAAAATCTTCCCCCGTGCCACATTCTTCGACTTTGATGAAAATGTCCATAGCAAAACAAAAGAACGGTAGTGTCTTTAATTTCGAGTGATTTAAGTCACAGTGCTTCTACAATCGCAGATTATACCTGCCGTTCATTATACCAGCAGTTTACAACATTAAAATATTTCTTGTTTCCAGTCACTAGTTTAGTCACACAACTGCTAATTCATCTATTGATACTGTGGAATGTATAAGCACAAGCTTCCCATTTAAGTATGAATTATCATAAAAATCACCGTTCCTTCGTTTAACAGCTGTTGCTATCTTTGCATCAACATCATCAATTTCACAAAATGTCTTATAATTACACTAAAAATATTACAAAATATAGATCGGGTCATACAGCAGAAATGATTGACCACAAATCACGAACAAAGAGCTCACATATAATTAACTTTTATCAAATAATTTAAATCAAATAGCATACTAGTATCGGTTCCAGGCAAGAATAGGATGTAAACAAATAACTCTATGTACAGTCGTGTCGCCTGCAGGAATGTGAAATGTTTCAAAATAGTAAGGCAATGAACAATAACAATACCCGATAATTTAAAAGTTTGAGCACGAGGCTAGCTAGGAATTCATACAAATCGTACCTGAGTGTATTTGTTGTGTAGAGAGGATTCGATGAATTAGTAAAATTCCTGCTAAATTAATCCACATTTGTCGACAAAGAGGCACTGTTTGATGTATAATGTCCAACGAGGCAGAAATTCAAGTTCATTCGCTCCCGAAAGATACGGCATCGGCCACTGTTATGGAGGGCCTGGTGTCATTGACCTCAGGAACAGATTCCAAATTCCGCAACAGGTAGCATCAGTTCTTCCGAGCGGCATGCAGCTTATCGTTTCGGTGGAGCAAGCTGTTCCACCAAGGCCAGAATTTACTAGGATCCGATCCGGGAAGAAGACCATGCAGTGGACTTGACCATCAAAAAGCGAGGTTCGCTACGAGGAAACGAAAAACTTTCACGACCGGGACGGAGAAAGGGAGCGGGACAACTTTCCCTCGTGAGACCCAACCGGCAAGTGCGGCTGCCGATCCTGTTTACCTGTCAGGTCAACGAACCAGGTAGAACCAGCGCAAAGCCGAACCTGTCCTAACCCCCCTACAGGTAAAGCTGCAGTGCCTACACCATGACCAAAAAACCGGTGGATTTTTCCACTGCAGTTGCTGGGTCGCTTACTTTTCCCAACCAGTTCTCGCGATCTCTGAGAAGTACCGTTACAGAGCTAATGTCTTGCCCCCCTTGCTTATTATCCGCAAACGCGTCCATCGCTGAAAGAAAGTTCTTTTTTTCATCTCTATGACTATTCTTCTCTTCTTTCTTCTTTAAACGCTTACTTTATTCCGTTGTTGTTTATTTATTGGCGCACTTACTTAAAAGAAGAGTACACGGTTTTTCTCAAAATACAGGTTCATAGTTGGGTTTGACGCATGCTTGCTTCGTGGTGGTAAGCGATGACGGCCTATCTTTTTAAGTGGGGGTGGTTACTTAACGTGTCACGTTTTCGTTTTTATCTTTGTATTTTGTATTATTTTCGCTCTTTTCTTCCGATTCAGGAAAATAATTTCAAGGTCCGCCGCGTCTCACGGAAGCTTTTTTTTTTTTTTTTAATTTCAAGTTCATCATGAATTGAAGAAAAGGTAACAATCGAATAAGCCGCTGTTACACAGATTGTAATTCTGCCATCGTTAATTAAGCAGTTCCTAGTGTAAACACCCTACCAATGACGCTGCGTAAAAAGCAACGTTTGCTGCAACTTTTGTCTCTAATATTTTTATCAATGATTACGCAAAAGATTCCTATACAATTTAGATTATGCGCATTTTATTTGCGTTGCACATGCAGAATGATGATGATGATGATGATAATAATTATAACAAATAGAAATAAATAAATATTAAAAAAAAGAAAGAAAGAAAGAAAAATAAATGATTAAAAGTATAAATAAAATAAATAAATAAATATTTAAAAAAAAAGAAAGAAAAATAAATGATTAAAAGTATAAATAAAATATAAATAAATAAAATAAATAACTACAATTTGAAGATTTCAGAATAGTCTCACACTTTAAAAAAGGCAATTTCAATAAATTAATAAAAAAATAGTTTGTTAAAAGTTTTTAAAAAACTGCAGTCTTTTTCACTCTATTACACCTGCCTAAATATTATCCGCAGATACAGTGAGTCATAAAAGCATTAAGGCTCAGCAGGCTTTCAGACACTTTTGAAAAAATAATTCAATACTTAATTTAATGAAATACATGCCATATCTTAGGGGGGAAATGAAATATATACATTTCTTGCATATAAACGAAATATTAAGGGTTAAAAAAGTATTGTGGCTCATAAACAGATTAAAAAGAAAAATAAAAACTCTAAAAATTGCTTTAATTATGTTCTCTGCCTTCTTTCCTTTATATAACTTCACGATTCTTCCAGAAATGAATTTCACGAGATTTTGACATAAACTTCCTTCGATAATTTCCCACTCTTTAGTTAGTTTACCTTTAGTTCATTTCTAAGTTTCAATTTATTAACTTTTTCTTGCAAATGATCCTAAATACGCTCAGCAGTACTGAGATCTGGACTCTTCCACAAGTGTTTTGATGGCACATGGGTAATTATATAAAATCTACAACACTGGTACTCAACCTTTTTTTGCTCCATGCATCCCTCTCACCACTACTAGACGATCATACCCCCCAATACCCAAACACGGAAAAATATATAAACATTTGCTTAAATTTAGACTATTTTTAATGAGTTTTACAAATTAAACATGAAAAAGTATGCAAAATGTTACTAAATACCAAAACTTGAATTAAGTAGTTTTCTTTTTTGTATTTATAAAATAAAACTAATTTAACAGGGAAATAAGAGGCTAACCGTATCCTCTTTCTGAAACTATGAAATTCCTCCTAGGGGAAATTCTCCCCTCTGGTTTCAGAACTCCTGATCTAAATTTTACAGATACGATCACCATTCTAATGAAGTGTTGGTACTCATGTGTTATCGCAATCACCTTAGTCGTCAAATTTTCAGCATGTGGCCAAACTCTGGAAACCATGCGCATAACGATTCTTCAAGCAACCATGCTCATAAGAATCCTTCAGTCAAGCAAAGTTAGTTTTAACATGACAATCTGCCCATTCTTTGTGCTCTCTGGTTTCAAGTTTTGTTTTAAAATACTCGAATATTACGTTAAGTTTATTTATTTTGCCACCAGTCGAATCTAGCTATTATAAGCCACAAGTACTCATACAGTCAAAGATCATCTAGCTACTTTCACCATGTTTTATTGAAGAGATAAGAGTCTTCATCTGAAGTTCAGCAATGGGTTTTCGCCATTTGCTTTTCATCACTCTAAAAAATACCGAATTTACCTTCATCCACAAATATAACCCAATTCCCAAAAATCTTGAGGGTTTTTTATATAGATTTTAGTGAACTTTAATTGCCCTTTGCTTCGCTTTACTAAGAAACAGTTTTCTTCAAACCATTTGCTCATGAAAGGTTGGATCTTCTAATTTTAGTATATTTAATATAGTAATATTTCTAATAGTTTTTGCTTTAGTAGACTTGTTAAATATTTATTGGGCTTCTAAAGTCACTTTCACTGCACTAATTTTAGGATTACAAATAATCACTCACTTTTCTTCACTACTCATTGGATGCCTTGTTCGCGGTTTGTTTTGAATCAAATTTATCTTAGGTAATTCGAAATTACATTGAAATAATTTAAGTTTGCTCACATCAAAAGAAATCTCAAAATTTTTTCTTCCAAAGAAGCTCCTTTACCTTAAACTTCATCTCTTCTAAGTTTAAAATCCTTTTCCCATGTGTTTCACGAGAGAAGTTTGCTAGAATTGGCTCCTTATAACATTTGTACCTCAACATCCCAATAACTTTAGCTTAATTTCATATTTAAAAACAATATATTTAAAATATCTCATTTATTTCTTAGTTTTATGCGAAGTTATTTATTTAAATTTTTAATCATTAAATTCTCGAAATCATCTTATGTTCGAATGTTTTTTTGAATCGCTATTATGCATTTAACTTAATGCTTCCAGCAAGAAAAAAACACATATTCGTCAACAATTCATTTCGGCAGTGACAAAATTGTTCTAAACATTAGAAATATATCTCTTAAGTCAGTTATTACAATAAACAAAGAACAAAAGATAATGGCACATTTGTAAAACTTTTGGTACTTACATGTTATTGCAATCACATTAGAAGTCGCCAGATTTTCGGAATATGCCAAGTTCTGGCAACCACGCGCTTTAACAATCCTTCAGTCAAACAGCGTCGTCATTTTCGCATGAGTTCTTTTTGTTGTATTCCAATGGCTTTTATAAATAAATCTTTATATTTTATGCCTTAATTTTAGAATATGCTCTTCCAGAATATAGAATATGCTCCTATTCCTGGTGACCGAGTGGAGAAAGCTCAACCATTGGAGGTAAGTGGCGTAGATTTTGCTGGCCCTTTGTATTTGAAAGATGGTACAAAAGTGTATATCTCATTGTTTACCTGTGCAGTGACTCAAGGAGTCCATTTAGAATTGTTATCAAATTTAAGTACAGAGTGTTTCATTTAAGCATTGTGTAGATTTTTTGCACGTAGAGGTATTTATTCTGATAATGCTACGACCTTTAAAACTTCTGATCGTGAATTAAAATATTTGTATAAATTGTGTAAAGATGAAAAGATTTTTAAATTTCCTTGGGAATAATGGGTTTGAATGGAAATTTATTGTATAAGGTGCTCCTTCGTGGGGTGGATTCTGGGAACGTTTGATAAGATCTGGAAAAACTTGTTTAAAACATATCTTAGGTAAAGCTTTTTTATATTGTTAAGAACTGTATCCTGTTTTATTTGAATTTGAAGCTGTTATTAATTCTAGACCTACAACCTATGCATAGAATGAACCAAATGAGCCTGATTCTCTTTTACCATCTCATTATATAACTGGATCTAGATTAACTGTTTTACTTGAATCTAAACTAAAATCTACAAGATCTCAGTTGATTAAAAGATGGAAGCATAGACAATTATTATTACAGCATTTTTGGAAAAGGTTTTATAAATAATATTTGTTAGAATTAAGATCAGTCATGTTTTCAAAAACTCCAAAGAATTCTCCCGTGTTTAAAATTAATGATGTTGTACTTGTACGAGAAGATAATGTGAAACGCTGTAACTGGAAGTTAGGTAGGATTAAAGAATTATTTCACGGAAAAAATGATGGAATTAGATCTTATGAGATTCAGTTGGATAAGGGTGTTGTTAGAAGACTCGAGGAGTTAAGACTAAGGATGAGTTAAGACTAAGTTAAGGAAGAGTTAAAACTAAGTTAAGACTTTATAATCTTGAAGTTCAGTAAAATTGATGCATCCGTTTATGCATCCGTTTACAGTAAAATTGATGCATCCGTTTATGCATCCGTTTATGGATGCATGGGAGTGTTAAATATAAGTTTGTGATTATTATCCTCCGATCGCCAATAGATGGCAGTAGTGTTTATAAAAAGAAACTGTGATGTCATAAATATGTATATGTATCAGTTCGTCTTTGGTGTTCGTCAATAAACGTTGTGTGGAATAACGCTCTGTGTTTATTAATTTACATTTGATCCAGTCTGATTTATTAGAGATTTACATATATTTTGTTTAAAGGGAGGTATACCCTCGTGGAGGACTTACTAAGGGAAACTGGCTCGTATACACGTTACCACATAGAGAAAACCCCGAAAACGTCCATGCAACCAGCTGATCCGCCGTGATTCAAACCCCGGACCGAACTACCACTGTTCAATATGGGTACTAGGCACTTAATTCGAAAATTTCCGCAGCGCAATACGTATAAAATAAATTATTAACACTCGATAAATTTAAATGCAATTCACAAAAATCTCACGCTGAGCACGAGGTAAACTAGCCGGCCCGTCACTATCGAAAGAAGGCTTCCCTGCTGCAGCGAGTAACATCATTAGTGAAGGAACTAATAGGCAAAACAAACTTTCCTC